ATCACGATAACGTCTGGGATGATTCACCGTCCAGTATCGTCAGGCTTCGGCCCGGTTGGATCCTGCATTGGTTCATATCTTTGCTGCGATTGTCTCTGTGTGTTTTCAGGACATGGGGACGGTGATCCTGGGGAAGCTGGAGTCCGGCTCCATCAGCAAGGCTCAGCAGCTGGTCATGATGCCCAACAGGGTGAGCAAAACGAGAACGACTCCCAGAGCAGAACGCCGTCAGAATGAACCCACATTCTGTCCTTGGATTACTGGAGGGATGTCGGCGCGCCCAGGGCGGCCATCTTGTTTATTAATTATGAGATAAAAGTTGCATTTTCATCAGAATGCCAACAACAAAAATAACAACTTACAGGGAGGAATGTTGAGCTTCTTAAGAAGTTTTGTTTTTTCAGAAAAGAAAATATTTCATGTTTTATCTCATCAGCATCAGATTATTACCATTATTAGCAGAAACGATTTAAACTGATGTGGCCACAGTCGGTCCTCAGGACCTTTCCTCATTTACAAATGTTTTTCTGGTAAAATGTTGTTTATTTGCTAATATTACGACTATTTTCTCAGAATTAGCCTGATACTCACAAAAGACATGACTGAAATATTTAGTGAGGAAAAAAGTCGGATAAAATTGAATCTGATATGAAAAATATTTATTTTTAAGCGCTACATAAAAATTTAGAATATTCCTAGAATATTGAGTGGAAGGAAAAAGTGTGGCAGGACAACCTGAATTTAAAATATTTTCAGTCAAAATTCATTGAAGAACTTGACCAGGATTGGACTGAGCCTCGAGTCAGAACATGTAGATCCAGAGGGATCCAGAACCGGGCTGCTGCAGGTCCAGACTGAAGTCTCTGCTGCTGGTTCTGGTTCTGATCCACTGGAATTCAAGCAAAAGGAGCCCAGACCAGAAGCTGGGAGCAGAATCCTGACCTTTGTGGTTAAAATCTTTGTAAATCCAGATGATTTTTTGCTGTGCTAAGCGGTCCCATCCGGGCCGAGCCGGACTCAGCAGCAGCCTGGTTGTTGTTGCAGCACACGGTGGAGGTTCTGAGCCTGCTGAGCGACGACGTGGAGACGGACGACGCCGGGCCGGGCGAGAACCTGAAGCTGCGGCTCAAAGGAATAGAAGAAGAAGAGATTCTTCCCGGATTCATCCTCTGCAGCCCGGACAACCTGTGCCACTCGGGCCGCACCTTCGACGCTCAGGTGAGCCCAGAACCGGCCAGACGACCCGAGTGGCGAGAAATCATTTCAGTTTTCCTCTTTATGCTACAAACGTCCCAAACTCAAATTCTCCTCACAGAAAAAAGGCTTCAAAGATTCTTCTGGATTCATTTAGAAAAATAATAAACCTCCACAAAAAATCACATTTACAGAAGTTTTCAGTTTTTCTGTTGATTCACGTTTTGCAGAAATTCAAGTCGTTTTGATTAATTGCATTAAAAAATTGTCACATTCTGCAGATTTTTATTTGACTCAATTCTGTTCAGTAAAAAACATTCAGAAAATTTAAATGAATAATTTCCATTTTAAAATAAGCAAATCAGTATTTTATTGCCTAAAATGTAATAAAAATATAATTTCTGGATCTATGGAATATTTTAGCAATCAATTATTCCATCAATTAATCAATCATTCTGATGATTAGTTTGTTATTCTGATATTTGGATAAAAAAATCTCAAGCTGTAAATTTTTCATTCAACCTTTTGAGTGTTTTTATGCAAAATTATAAATATATTAAAAGATGGAAGGAAATAGATCAATCTGTGTTTATAAATAATCAATATTTCATTTCCTTTTATGAACTTTGATCTTATGGGGATTTGGAGCTCCAGCGCTCTCAGCGGTTGTCATGGAAACCCGCTGCAGTAAAGCGTGCTGAATGTGTGTAACTGTCTCCTGCAGATCGTCATCATTGAGCACAAGTCCATCATTTGTCCCGGTTACAACGCCGTGCTTCACATCCACACCTGCATCGAGGAGGTGCAGATCACGGTGCGTCCTGATTGGCTCCTTCCAGCAAGACACTTCCTCATTGGACGGGTTTCCTGTCAACTAAAACTGATCAGATCTGTGATAAAACCAGCAAATTAGCTTCAAACACACAGCAGATAAATTTATGTCACTATGTCTTGGCTTTAAATGAAATTTGAGCCTGTTTTACTCTGATTTTAATCATTTCACCTGTTTTTACCTGAACCTGTGACTGCAGGCGCTGATCTGCCTGGTGGACAAGAAGACGGGCGAGAAGAGCAAGACGCGGCCGCGCTTCGTGAAGCAGGACCAGGTGTGCATCGCCCGGCTGCGGGCCGCAGGCGTCATCTGCCTAGAAACCTTCAAGGATTTCCCACAGATGGGACGCTTCACTCTGAGAGACGAAGGTGAGACGCCGTCGGCCATTTTGAGGCTGTTTTCAGGTCCCTACATGTGAAGCCGGATTTATGACCAACAGGCTGGAAATGGAAACTTTCAGGTTGAGATAAAACATCAAGTAAAGCCAGAAATGTTTCCCACCTGTAATAACTAGCTCACCATCACCAAACCTACATCCTGGATTCTTAGTTCAGACTGAGAGGAATTTGGTTTTGGCTTCAAGCATTAAGATCACCGGATCTTAATGCATTAAGATCACCGGATCTTAATGCATTAAGATCACCGGATCTTAATGCATTAAGATCACCGGATCTTAATGCATTAAGATCACCGGATCTTAATGTTTGGCTCAGAAAACTGTCATGAGATCAGAACCAGAAACTGTAAAACCTGCAAACAAAACTCTTAAATCACCTGGAGTTGATTATATTCCTCACCTGCTTGGAGACTTTTGGTCTGATTACTCAGATGAAGAGAGAAGAAGGAAAAAAGATACTTTAGATGATCCAGTTTAATTATTTATGGGGAAACTTTTTCTGGGTCAAGGTTCATATCTAGTTTTTATTTTGTTAAAAATGTTCGTAAGTTTAAATCTGGAATCATTTTGGGTTTTAAAAACATCCGGTCGTTTTTCTGCTTGTTGATGTCGGATGGTGTCCTAGCGCAAGTAACGCCGTGTTGTGGTCATTCCTCCCATCATGTGAAGATTTGTGACCTTTGACCTCCGTGGTTCTGTTCTGCAGGGAAAACGATCGCCATCGGCAAAGTGCTGAAGCTGGTTCCAGAGAAGGACTAACCGCGGCGGCGCCGGCATGCATGGAGCTCCTCCACCTGGTACCGGGCGGAGAATCGGCGCCAGACCCAACAGCCACTCTCTGAGGAGAAGAAGAGCGAGGAGGAGGAGGAGGAGTGGAATCATGTCACGCCAAGATAAAGAAAACGAGACTGAATCAGTTTTTTATGAACATTATAGAACGAGAGCCCAAGTCCAGAGTGTCAGCTTTCTCATATTGAGAGCTCAGCTATGCCACTAATGTAGCTACACGCCCCGCCCCGTCACCACGGCTACGCTGTCGGCTGGACGCCATGTTTGCTTTCAGGACGGAGGTGGATGATGTCTAGTTCCTGCAGAAGCACCAGAGTTAGCTCGGTGTTCCACCCAGCGCGGTTTCAGGAGTCCTGCAGATGCGTTGGTCTGATTTGAGGGAAAGTTGCACCAGATCTTTCGTTTGGTTCTCTGGGTTGTCTGGACCGGGCTCTCACACAGTTCCGCTGCTGATCCCAGGATGGAAACATGCTCACATAAACAGGTGCACAGAGCTGTAACATTAATCCAGTCTGAAAATAAAAGGTCAACCTGAAACCGAAGCCTGTTTCTTATTTACTCACTGAAACCGCGTCGCGTAAAATCAACGTTTCTGATGTTTCCCTCAAAAACAAACCTGGAGCAATTGAGAAACCTTTAGCCTCCATGGCAACCATTCAGCTGTTAAACACCTGGGTGGGCCATAGCCCCACCTTCCAGGCTTAGCCCCTCCCCCTCTCAGCTCCTTCAGACTAGCCAGCAGCAATTGGCAAACATTAACTGAGCTCCTTATAGGAGCTGCTGCTTTGAGCAACTCTGGTAGAAATGCTAAAAGGTTAATAGAGGAGCCATGTTGGAATGACTTCCTGGAGGCGGAGCTTCAGAAAGCAGGAGTTCTTAAAGAGATAGAGGCCCAATTTAAATTCATTAACTCAGATAGTTAAATTTCTTTTAAGTTATATTTTAAGTATATTTAGGATTTTTTAGCAATTGAAGATAATTATTTCATTATGCTTTAAAATGGCATCATTGAAAACGCATATTGCCTCCCCTTTAAAAAACAACCATCTGAATCGTTTGCACTAAATATGAGTTCATATTAGTGTTCATAAGACTAAAACAGTGAATACAGTAAGGAAATAGTTATTTTTCATGTTTCATTGTTTTCATTTTATTCAAGGAAATTGCAATCTGAACGTCAGCAATCAGTAAGTAATCCTGTTCTGGGATCGATTGGTAGAGTCTCCATGCTCCACTAGAGGGCGTGGCACAAACCAACCTGGACATTTTCAGTCACATACATAAACAAATTGATAAAGTATTTAAAGTACCAAATATTACATCCAACTTATTTCATTATACAGTGGAACGTAAATTAATTTATTTAACTTTTAATTTATGCAACTTTTCCATTTTATTTCAAATCTTATAGTTTTAACTATTTAATTTTTTTCTATTTCATATTTTTAATTTTCTTTGCTTACTGTCCTTTTTTATATTCAGAGTTTAAGTTGCTTCTTTGTACATTGATTTATTTTCTAATGAGCAGATATAAATTTGTTGCATTGTATAATGAAATATTTATTTGTTGAATGGAACATTTGGCACATAAAAAACTTCATCAAGTCATTTATTTATTCCAGTTATGACAGGATTTGTCCTCCATACGGAGAGTAACTGTAATCCGATTACTGGAAAGGGAATAGTAACGCGTTAGATTACTCGTTACTGAACGAGTTTTGTCATGCGCTTTCGTACTGATAAAGTTCCAATTTGTATATTGTGACGTAGACCTGGCTGCATCCTCAGTGCGCATGCGCGGCCTCGGCACACGTGAAGTAGACGACATGGAGGAGAACAGAGAAGTTCCGTTGGACCGGGCTCAGGTAGGATTATTTCTGTGATTAAGCGGTTCTACCAGAACCCGATGGGCGACCAATGGGCCTCCAGAACCCGACCAGAACGGGTTCTTCCTCGGCGGGGTTCGGCTCGGTGATGCTAGTTGGCCGGCTACCTAGCATCACGGCTACCTAGCATCACGGCTACCTAGCATCACGGCTACCTAGCATCACGGCTACCTAGCATCACGGCTACCTCTTCGCCGCTTCCAGCTGTTTACTGCCGGCTTTAATCAAACTCGCCTTCGCCTCCCAGGTGAAGAAGGCCGTCCAGGCCCTGCAGGCTTTCCTGAAATCAAAGTCCAGCGGAGATGCTCTGCTGCTGGATGACAACCAGCCGATCAGCCTGCTCTTCACCCTGTGGAAGATCCCCAGACAGACGCAGACCATCCGCATGTGAGTCCTGGTGGGGATTTTTGATAACGGGGAGGAAAATGTTCATCTGCAGTTTGTTTGGTCGGTCAGAATGGAGTCAGTGGTCTGCATGTCCATCCTCAGTGTTGAGAGGGAAGATATATCGGTTGTCGGCCATAACAGCGATATTAATATCGGATATCGGCCATAACAGCGATTAATATCGGATATCGGCCATAACAGCGATATTAATATCGGATATCGGCCATAACAGCGATATTAATATCGGATATCGACCATAACAGCGATATTAATATCGGATATCGACCATAACAGCGATATTAATATCGGATATCAGCCATAACAGCGATATTAATATCGGATATCAGCCATAACAGCAATATTAATATCGGATATCAGCCATAACAGCGATATTAATATCGGATATCAGCCAAGGTTTTTCTGTCTGTGAATCTCTGTTAAAATGTTCAGAAGTAAAACAGGAAGGAATGTTTGACTAGTTTTCTGTAGCTTCCTCTCCATCACTGCAGACCACATGGTGTTGTGAAACAGATCATTTAAAGTTTTAATGTAAATATATATATAATATATTATTTCTAAAGTTCTAGTGCGACGTTTTCAAACAAAGTAATTCAATGTGGGGTTGCAACGATTGTAGTTTTCTGGCCGATCACTGAAAATGTGGACATTGTTTTGGTTTGTTTGTTGAATGAAAAACGGGTCAATGTAGCAACACAGGCAGAGTCCACCAACATGCACCAGCGTCCACCAACATGCACCAGCGTCCACCAACATGCACCAGCGTCCACCAACATGCACCAGCGTCCACCAACATGCACCAGCGTCCACCAACATGCACCAGCGTCCACCAACATGCACCAGCGTCCACCAACATGCACCAGCGTCCACCAACATGCACCAACGTTTTTATGTCGTTCTGATCGGCCCAAGTCCCATCATTTCACCCCAACAAAGTTCTGATTTGTTCCACTTCATTTGGGAAACTAAAGCTGATAGTTTTAGAAGCATTCGGAGTCGAAACTCTAGTGTCGAGTTTCAAACATTCGTCATAATTCAGCAGCAGGAGAATCCCAACGGTGAAACTGTAAACGATGTCTGAAGATGGCGTTGCTTTCCGTCCGGCTGAATGATGATCTCTGTTCTCAGCCCTCTGCCTCACAGCCATCGCTCCGACACCGACGACGTTTGCCTCTTCACCAAAGACGAGCCCAGAATGACGGCGGAGCAGACCCAGAGGTTCTACAAGAAGCTGCTGGAGCAGCGGGGCGTAACAAATGTCTCACAGGTGCTGCAGGAGCTGCAGGCCAAAAGTAAGTACACCCTCACCGGGCTTTCTGACTAAACGTGTCTGTCTGTAGATCATACCGCTTAAAACCCTGAAGACGGAGTACAAGCCGTACGAAGCGAAGCGGCGGCTGCTGGGAAACTTCGACTTGTTCCTGTCCGATGATCGGATCCGCCGCCTGCTGCCGTCGCACCTGGGGAAACATTTCTACATGACTAAGAAGTGAGTTTCCTGATGTCTGGATGGAGATCTGTTTTCTCACCTTTGACCTTTTATTTAAAGCTTCAGATGAAATAAAAGGTCTTAGGAATCAATTATCCTGATGATTAATTAATTAAATCAATTATTTGAACAATGCAGAATTAGACATACGTTAAAGGATGCTAAGAAATAAAACCTTTAAGAAAACAAAACATTATTTCCTAAAATTTAATAACTTCTTTCCTTTAGTTTAGATTCCTCTAATAAATGCCAACATTTGTATTATTTTATATGCAAATATTTTTGGAGTAATTAATGCTCTTGTTGTTTTTCAGTCTGTTTCATCAAGTCAACCATTATTAGAAAATCAAATTGGTGATCAATTAATCAGGATTATTATGATCAATAGTTTCAGTTCTGCTTCAGAACTGATCCGTCTGTTTTTACGGCCCGGTTCAAAGTTCTGGTGACAAAACAGAAATGAAGATTTCATGATTTCAGTCTCACTGTTTATTTTAACTTTATGATTAATTGATTATTTCTAATAATGATTAATCACAAGACAAGCAGTAAACATGTTTTCTGTGTTTTTCCCAGAATGCCGATCTCCATCAACCTGCAGAGCAACAATCTGGGCCGAGACGTCCAGCGGCTCGTCCAGGGAACCAGACTGACCGTCGGCAACAAAGGCAGCTGCAGGTCCGACCCGACCCGCTGTCCACAGAACCACAGTGACCTGCAGGTCCAGACCGGTTCTGATCAGTTCTGAATGGTCCAGACCGGTTCTGATCGGTCCAGTCAAAGGTTCTGCAGCAGCAGTACCGTCCTGCTGACTGGTTCTGTTTGGCCCGGTGGCCCAGATGGTTCTCCCGTCTCTAATGCTTCAACACAAACATCATTTAATCCCAGATCCGCTCTGGGATTAAATCAGACTAAAAGTTTCTGTTTTCTGCTTTGTTGGATTTAATGAAAGTTTTTCTGTTTGTTAAACGACAGAAAATGAGTTTAAAGTTCAGCTCAGATTATCTGGAGTTTCTCCCCTGAGCTTCAGGATTTCCACATCATGTTTCTTCCTCCTGGCCGCAGCATGGCGCGCGTCGCTCACTCCAACATGGCGGCAGACGAGGTGACGGACAACGTGGAGGCCGCGGTCCGGACGGTGGCTGCAAAGCTGCGGATGGTGAGTCGAAAGTCAAAGGTCAGAGCTGTGCTCCCTCTGGCCCACAGGGGGCAGCGCTGAGACCAGATGATGCAGAATTTGGATAGAAAAACTTAAAGATGGAAATAATTCAGAAAATGTTTCTTTTATTGATGATTTTATCTAGACTTGATTTCTTGATTTTTCAGTTTTTATTTTTGATATTTAAAATGTTTTCCACTTCTGAAAGGTTCTTAAAAAAATGTCTTCAATATAATTGTTTTCCTAGTTTAATAAATTTCTTGTGGAAAACATTTTAGCAGAATTTATCTTCACGTTCCCTGTTTTGTCTCCCTGGCGACAGACGGGCCGGATGGTGAAGCTGATCCACTTAAAGAGCGAGAGTTCGGTGGCGTTGCCCATCTACACGTCTGACCTGAGCCACATGGGCGTCCTGCAGAGACCCACGGTCAGATAACATCAGATTCATCAACAGCAGAGCTTCTATTGTCTAACCAAGCAGCAACACGTCTGGTTTTCAGAAAAGTTCAAAAACAAAGAAGGTGAAGAAGAACGAGGCGGGAGACGAACAGCAAAAAGAAACAACAAAGGAACAGAAGAAGAAGAAACGGAGGGAGGAAGAGGAGGAAGAGGAGGAGATCCCACAGCTGGTTCCCATAGAGACGCCCAGCAAGAAACCCAAAGTGGAGGTCGGAGTTTCCTCCTTCCTCTGTAGCCTCTGCAGCGTCTGACGTCTTCAGCAAGTTTATCCATTTTATTTTCTTATTTTCCAGAAATCGACCAAGAAGAAACCGATGCAGAAACCAACCAAACCTGCCGCAGCAAAGAAGGTCACCGCGGGGTCAAAGGTCACCAAGGCTTCGATCAAAGCAGCCAGGAAGGGCGGCAAGGTGGGCAGGCAGGAAGGAGAAGAGTCCCTAAAGGGAAATGATTGTTGGATTTGATTAAATCTGTCGCCTGGAGAAACTTTTCTGTTTGTCTGAAAATAGCAGCAGCTGATTCACTTCCTCATTCATGACTCGTTCACAGGAATGAAAAAACATTTTTGTTTTGATTGAACAAAATCAGAATGTTGATAATATTTAATCGATCCTCAGAAAATGGAAAAAATGAAGTTTTATGGTCTTCACTCAATATTTTCATGTATTTCTTGCTCATGTTTGAACCTCAGTGGAGACGATGAAGCTCAGTTTGCTGTTTTACTGCTTTCACCTTAGAATAAATGTTTTCAGATCGTCTCAATATTTATTTAACTTAAATGAGAAACTTCTCCTTTGTTCTCTTGAACTCGGATCTGAACCGTGACGCTGTGATGACGTCACAGCGGCAGCCAGGAAACCAGAGTGACGCTCACTTCCTGTTCCAGGATTAATCTGCGGAGGGGGCGGGGCCTCGATTTTTGCTGAGTCATCCTCTGATCGGACTCGGCTCTGGTTTTATAGAAACTGTTCAAACCAGAACCATGGAGCCCACAGCCGGGCTTCCGGACCCACTGTGGATCAGGGGTGGCCAAAGTGTGGCCCGCGGGCCACTAATGGCCCCTGGACTGACTGGCTGTGGCCCCTGGCTTCAGCTCAGATTGATAGATTGGTTCCTGCTGCTCAGGTTTGAAGCAGCTTGAGCTTTGGGGTGACTGCGGTCATGAGGTCCATGTGTGACTCCTGGTCAGTGACTGACGGATAGATCGATGGAGCAAAACAATTTGTCTCATGTTACCAGCTGGTGCTGCGCGCTGTGGCCATGGAAACGGTTCTGGTGCCGCTGTGTGAGCAGGTGGTGCTGCTGGGTCCAGGTGGTGCTGCTGGGTCCTGGTGGTGCTGCTGGGTCCTGGTGGTGCTGCTGGGTCCAGGTGGTGCTGCTGGTCCTGGTGGTGCTGCTGGGTCCTGGTGGTGCTGCTGGGTCCGGTGGTGTGCTGGGTCCTGGTGGTGCTGCTGGGTCCAGGTGGTGCTGCTGGGTCCTGGTGGTTCTGCTGGGTCCAAGTGGTGCTGCTGGGTCCTGGTGGTGCTGCTGGGTCCGGGTGGTGCTGCTGGGTCCAAGTGGTGCTCCTGGGTCCAGGTGGTGCTGCTGGGTCCTGGTGGTGCTGCTGGGTCCTGGTGGTGCTGCTGGGTCCAGGTGGTTCTTCCTGCCTCTGGTCTGTGGATGCAGACGGTGTTGCTCCTCGGTGGGAGCTGAACCGGTCCAAACAGACCGACGGAACAAGAGGCTGGGCTCAGACCGGCTCAGCAGGTCCATCATGGGGGAACCAAAGAACTTGATGTCTTCAACGCATGAAGCTCAGTGGATCAGCCTGGTTCTCCTGCTGTCTCTCAATAAACGAGGCGAGTCCAGTTCCTGCACTGTTGCACATGATGCCTCCGAACTTCATTAATCATAATAAAAAATAATAAAAAATAAAAAAACAATTCCTATAACATCAAGCTCCATACCAGCAGGGCATTTAGTGGAAATGCCCTGCTGGTTCATCTGCAGCAAGAACCGAATTTCTAGACAATGTCTTCAATTAATATAGAATCTTTAAAAGTTTAAATGCTAAATAAATTCAAATTATATTTGCCCTTAAAAGATAACAACCCTACAATTATAATTGATATTATAATTTGCATGTTGTATAATCCCCTTTCATATTGTATTTAAATGTTTTTCATTGCCTGTTTTATTGTGTTTCTTCATGTTTCTTGGGTTCAATTCAGTTAGGAGAGGAAGTGGAACAATCTTCAACGCTGTTGAATAAATCTGGAAAAAGTATCTATGGAATCCTATAAGTGCCCAAAATGTTTTCTAAGTTGGCTAAAGCACTAACCTACAAATTAGCTCCACTATTAGCCGTTAGCGGATTGTTTCCACCACTGATTTCATGACTTTTTTGCAATGGAAAATATGAGAAACAAACAAATCAAAACTCAACAATAAATAGAAATGATCAAACGTTTCTCGGTGGGACGGATGATGGGAGGCGATTTTCAGGAGTGAATCTGCTGCTGTTTGTCAGAGATGATGCAAACTGAAACATCAGATCCAGTGGATTCCAGATAACAACTGGTGAACGTTGTACTTTGAACAGAAACGTTCCATGCAGGGATTTAACCTTGCAGTCCTGCAGCCGCCGTCAGACCAGGCGTCTTCTTCTGGACTGGAGGACCTGCATCATGTCCACCTCGGTGCAGGTGGCGCCGGTCATGGAGGAGACGTACGATGGAGTCGGCCGCTGTAAGTGTGCTTTCTGGTTGGCGGTGATCCACGACGTTCTGGGCGTCCTGATCATCATGGTGGGGGTGTTCGGCGGCATTGTGATCCATGATGTCTTCATCTATGGCGGCGCCATCGTCATCTTCCTCAGCCTGATCTGGTGGATCTTCTGGTACTCGGGGAACATCGACGTTCCGCCGGAGGAGCTGGAGGACGACGTGGGCCTGATGAAGACCCACAACAGGCGGGTCAGCCGGGCCGTCAGGCGGGTTTCCAACAGGATCAGGAACTCTTTCAGGAAAAAGGCTCGGCCTGTGGAAGAGGGGCCCTTCAGGGGCACCGGGCCCTTCGGGGGCTACCGGCCCTCAGACTACGGTATGGATGTAACGCTCTCCACCATATCTGGCAGCTCTAAAGGCTCTTCATCAAAACAACTTGTGAGAGAAACTCTGTCCATATGAAGAGTCAGAGCTGGAGCTTTATTTGTATCTTTATTCAGTTATTTTTATGTGTCTGTAATCATTAGTCAACTCAGAGCTGATGAATGATAAGACATAAACTTTGCACACAGCAGCAGCAGTTTGCTGACACACTCAGAGACGACTGACTGTTTTTACTGCTGACTGTCTGTCGCTCATTTCCAGATTTCGGAGGAGTTGAAATGAGGTGAATTTTATCTGCATGATTTGTTCATCATGAAGCTGTAAATGCTGCTGCTGAAACAAAACACTGACAGAAAACAGATTTTATCAGCAGGTGCTACAAGCTTTGGCTTTCCACATGTTCCCTATTTTACTAAATAATTTAGTATTTAGAAATACTAACTTTTTGCCTGTAATATATGTGTAATGTAAATTAACAATGAAACAAACCAAAAATGAACTTGATTAATAACTCATAAAATATTTTTAGAATTTTTATGTGAAATTAAAAGTTGTGTAAATATCACATTTCCATCTTTTTGTTTAAACACTCAACTGAAAGGTTGAGTGTTTAGCCCCGCCCCTAGTGTCATCAAGGGGGCGGAGCCTAACACGATGGGGGCGTGGCTCAGTGTGGGGCCCAGAACAGGGGCTGAAAAACTGCCAGCAGCTTTTCAGACTCTTTAGAACCTTTTATGGTTTTTGTTTTTGAAATGTTCATGGTGACGTGAAGCACCAGATGTGCATCCAATGCAGAATTTAAGCAAAGAAGTGAATTCTGCTGTTGTTCTCCACTGGACCTGACTCAACCAAGACGAATCAGAGCACTTCATTGATGGCACCAATGAGAAAATGAATCTGCAAAGTAATGCTCAACAACATGCATGCCACACTTTTTAGATTTTCATCTGTGGAAAAATATCTAATTGTATTGTATAATTACTTTCCATGTATAAAACCTACTATGTGTTATTCTGCCACATGGTATCCTAATAAAATGCTTTGTATGTGAGGATTTAACAGCTGGTGGCTCGTTACATTATTTTAATTAATGAACGTCTTATTTTGTCTCTAAGGAGGAACAAAAACCTGAATCCGACGTCAGTTTGTCATGTTTTTGGGCCACAGGAAGCAAATGGGGGAAATTATAGAATTTCCGCTTGATAATTATAGAAAGAGGAACAGCTTCAGACACCAAGAAGAATATTTACTCATCTGGACCGCAAAGAACCAGCAGAACAAGCTTCACAAATCAGTTTCTCAGGTAAAAACTACAACTCCCAGCAGCGCTCGGCATCACGTGACCGGAATGTGTTTGGTCACGTGACCCGCCGCCGTCATGTGAGTGGTCAGTTTCAGCTTTTCGCAGTGTCACAGGCTGAACTGATTATACTCTGATAACTTTTGGTTTCTGGTCCAAAGCGGCTCCCGGTTCTGTTGACACGGGACCGAACGGCTCGGAGTTCGGGCTCGGAACCGCGTCCATCACGGCCCGCCGGGTTACCGGAGCGTGAAGCGGCTCCCCGCAGGCCTCGCCGTTCACCGAGCGGGCATCGGCGCTCGCGCCGCTGTTGGGCGGGTCCAGGTCGGCCACGGCGGCGGCATGGAGCCGGGGCGCCGCTAGCTTGGTGCTGGTTCCGGGAGATGAGAAGAACCGTTTCCTCCGAGCCGTTTCCGGTCCAGGAGGTCGGTTGTCAGGATGAACGGTGAGTTTGTCATCCGGCCAGGGAGGTTCTGCTCCAGCGAACAGAACCAGAACCAGCTACTTCCTGCACACGTTCAGCTCCAGCTGTTTTATGCTGTGGTTCCGAACGCTTTGGCTCGGTTCCGTCAGGCTCTGCTGCAGGGAAATGAAAGCAAAAGTCCAACAACACCGACAGAGAGAGCAGGTCACCTTAACAACAGCCTGGAAGCACTCAGCTTTTATTTTGAAAGGAAAGGTCCAGATTCTGCCCACCAGTTTGGTTCTGAACTTTAAATCCACTCGCCTCGTTTTCCTCCTCTAAACCCAGTAAACCCAGTAAACCCAGTAAAGCCAGTAAAGCCGCAGCTCAGCGCAGGGCTTTTATTATGTAGTTTTTCTCTTAAAGTTTCTGATTCAAACCTTTCAGTTTTAATAACTAAAATAATCTTCACAGTTATAAAGATATTCTTACAGCAGAAAGTTTCTTTAATTTCAAATTCAGTTCAAAAATACTGATTGATCAATACTGAATATTGATTCAAATATTGATTCAATAGTTAAAATCCATACATTTTTGCTTTGAATTGATTTCCTTTATTTTTTCAGTAGAGACTTAAAATAACTACAAATTTCTTCACATGAGGAAAACCTTCAAACTCTTGAAGCTTTGAACCATTTTTCAACTTTTTTACACAAAAAATCTAAATTCTTTACTTGTAGAAAAACTGGTGATATTTTTGTCTCTTTTGTGGTTTTGTGATAAAAAAGTTTGGACTCGGATCAATCTGGATCAGAACCGTTTCTGAGCCCAGAGTAACTTTGTTCTGTTTCAACGGAGCTTCAGGAAAATGGCCTCCATGCTTCTGTGGAGGGCTTCTGGGAGACATTAAGTGTCTCAGTGAAATGATGTGCATTTCTTTTGGTTTTTGCTTTATTCTTGCTGTATTTCAGTGATTAAACTGAAGAGTTTAATCACAGGGTTCTGCTGTCCTCCTCCTCCTCCTCCTCCTCCCCATCATCATCATCATCATCATCATCATCATCATCATCATCATCAATGTGTTTCCTTCCTCTGCAGGAACTGAGCAGAATGATGCCAAGAGACAGAACCTCCTGGAGAGGCTGCTGGACGCCGTCAAACAGGTGAGTTAGTCGTTAGCATTAGCATCCTTCCGACAGGAAGCGGTTCAGTTCAGTTTGGTTCGGTTTGGTTCGGTTCAGTTTGGTTCAGTTCAGTTTGGTTCGGTTTGGTTCGGTTCAGTTTGGTTCGGTTTGGTTCGGTTCAGTTTGGTTCAGTTTGGTTCGTTTGGTTCGGTTCAGTTTGGTTCAGTTCAGTTTGGTTCAGTTTGGTTCGGTTCGGTTTGGTTCAGTTTGGTTCAGTTTGGTTCGGTTCAGTTTGGTTCAGTTTGGTTCAGTTTGGTTCGGTTCGGTTCGGTTCGGATCAGGGAGAGCAGTTTGAAGTTTGTTTCATCTTTGAACATCCAGATGGAAACTTTTGCTCATTTTTAGTCAGGCTGGATAAAGTTCTTCAAACTTGAGATTTTTAAAGACTAATTTCAGATTTGCTATTGGATTCAGGTCTGGACTTTGACTAGGCCATTGTCTAATCAGCTTTAGTCTAAAGCAGAGGTGGGCAACTCGAGGGCTGATCGCCTGCAACTTTCAGATGTGTCTCTAATTCAACACCTGACCTGCGTCAAACAGTGAGGTCATCAGCAGAACTCTGGAGAACCGGACCGCTCTCAGGAAGTGGTTCTGCTGGCGGGTTCTGCTGGTGGGTTCTGCTGGCGGGTTCTGCTGGCGGTTCTGCTGGCGGGTTCTGCGGGTTCTGCTGGTGGACCGGAGACATGTCTAAGAGCTGCAGGACTGCGGCCCTCTGAGACGCCCAGCCCTGCTCTGAAGCATCCCATAATATCTGTGCGTGTTGAAGTGAAGGAGAACCTCCAGTCTTTAGGTTTTCCTCCGTCCATCGTCCCTTCAACTCTATTCTTCATGTTCCCACAGCATAATGCTGCCAACACCATGTTTCACTGTGGGGAGATTTGAATGATTTTAAGATTTTCATTTTAACTGTTAAAAAGTTAAAATGTGATTTTTATCTCTTCCTAGAAGACTTGGAACTAATTTGATTATATTAAAATTTATTTAGTTTTTCTGCCGACCCTGTCAAACTGAGATGAACTTTCTTCTCTGCTTTGTGTTGATCTGTTTGGTAAAACCTCGATAAAATAAACTAAACTACAGTTTAAGGTTTTAATGGGACAGAATGTGGATCTGTTGGGATTTGACTTCCTTCACCTGCTGCTCACAGACAGGAAGTAGAAAAACTGGGTTAGTTTTTGTGGAAGTTTGTGAGAAAACATTCTGGGAGGATGAGGATGATGATGAAGAGCAGATGGTCTAACATGGCAACGTGAGCCGGTTGGGTTCAGGTTGCATAGAAAGCAGCTGATCAAAGCCGAACCCAGATTGTTCTGCAGCTTTAACTCGTGTCGCTTCCTGCAGGAAGCTGCTGTGCTGCACTGGAAATTTGACCAACATCTGTTCTGGTTCTCATGTTTTCATTCCTTTCATATCTCTGCAGTGCCAAATCCGCTTTGGAGGAAGAAAAGAGATCGCCACGGACTCAGACAGCAGGTAGAGCAGGTCCAAACGGGAAATGTTTGTTTCAAACAGAACCAAACAGAACCAGGTTCCAGGTTCAAACACGCGTCTCTTCACTGTTAAATTCGGCTTGGAAGCAACTTTACAGCAACAAGTTCAGGAAGTTGTTGTCAACCAGCAAACTGCTCATCATAGCAGCTGCTGCTCAGAGCGACTCTGGCAGAAACTTTAAAGAGTTGATAGAGGAGCCATGTTGGGACGACTTCCTGGGGGCGGAGCTTCAGAAACAGCAGGAGTTTATTAAAGAGACAGACATGATGAATTAGTTTATTGTGAAAGTTTATTCTACTGGAGACAGTAAGCATGACTAATAATAATTCATTAACTTTATAGGAACAATTAGGAAAGAGCAGAAATTAAGACTGGGGCAGCCGGAATAATCAATAAATCACTTAATTTCATAATAAATCAAAACAAGCTCAATCACTAAAATTAATTTGATTTGTTTCTGTTTAGTTTTATTTATCTTGGATATTTAAAATGTCTTCCAGTTCCAGTGAAAAATGTTAGAATTGAAAGTTTATTGATCTTTGAGAATCTGTTCTTGAATTATATTATTTATTGCCTGAGGTCATCATCATAACTTTGGAGATGATTTATCATTAAGTTTGTTATGAGAGGGCTGCTTGTTACATGAGTAAAAATATCATGTGTGAATATAAATATGGGAGACAATTGGTGTCGTAAGTTTAATCTTCTTTCTACTCCTTTTTGTACTGGAAGTGGAAGTTTAGTGTTTTTATGTTTGATATATGATGATACATTTAGTTATTAATAACTATATTTATCACTTCCACCTCTTCTTCTTCTTGGTAATTAAGAGTTTGTGGCACTGCTGAAGTCAGCTTTAATGAAACTCTTTAAAGTTGTTCTTATTAAGCTTCAGTTTCCCTGACACCACGAACTAAAACACAACGTAAACTTAGTGAGATGGTGTCAAGAACACAATATCGACATAAACATATCAACATGCCTCGCTGGCTGACCCTTCCTTTGAGGCAGAAATGAGGTCATTCAGTAAATTCTTAAACTTAAATCGTGTTTCTTCATTTGCCAACGCGATGCTGTTATACCGCAGGTGTTTCTGGTAACCTGGTAACCAGACGCTTCTACTTCCTACCTTAATCCTCCAAAATAAGAGTCTTAACAAAAAAGTATAAATGATACAAAATAAAACCTGTAAATTACAACTTTGGCAGTAAAAATATTTGTTGCTGTGCCAATAACGGCAGCGCTGTGTTTGCAGGGTGATCTGCCTGTGCGCTCAGTTGGAGGCGGTGCTGCAGCACGGCCTGAGGAAGAGCAAAGGCCTGGCGCTGACCGCTGCAGCGCTGAAGCAGGCTGCCGGCTTCAGCAGCAAGACGGAAGCAGGTGAACGCGTCGCCGCCTGCTGAGTCTGTTCTGCGTTTTGGAGGCGAAACGCGTTGAATGGTTGTGAGGAAGCAGACCTTTGGGAACGTGTCTGCTTCCCCGTTTCACTTGTTTACTGCAAAGACAAAATCGCACCAAGTATTTTGGTTTAGTTTCTAATGCAGATATCCTATTACAGTTAAAACGAGACAATAGGTAACTTTTCAGCAAGATATAAAAGCTTATTTAGGGAAATAAATCCCTAATATTTATGAAAAAACGTCCGATTCCCCCGGCACCGTTGCCTAGAAACCGCAGCCAATTATTGACTGAAGTAAATAATAAGAAATTATTTACGACTATTGACACAAATACTTATAGCATTTTGAAAACGGATGTTTTACAGCATGTGTGTTTATTTATTCAACTTTTTCTTTTATCAAATTTCATTTTACTGGGATTATTTTTTAATAATCTAAAACCTCGCTGAAAAGTTACTCTGCTGCGGCGGCGCCTCTGCTGCTGCGGCGCCTCTGCTGCTGCGGCGACTCTGCTGAGGCGGCGCCTCTGCTGCTGCGGCGCCTCTGCTGCTGCGGCGCCTCTGCTGCTGCGGCGCTCTGCTGCTGCGCGACTCTGCTGCGGCGGCGCCTCTGCTGCTGCGGCGCCTCTGCTGCTGCGGCGCCTCTGCTGCGGCGGCGCCTCTGCTGCTGCGGCGCCTCTGCTGCGGCGGCGCCTCTGCTGCGGCGGCGCCTCTGCTGCGGCGGCTTTGCTTTCTGAGCTGGTTTCTCTGAGGCGTTGATCCGCCTGGTTTGGTTTCATCGGTTTCACTCAGCAGGTCGTAATGTCTTGCAGGCTGCAGCTGGTTGGCTCTGAACGCTCAGCAGGCTGCAGTTCGCTCAGGTTAAAGAAGTTTGAATCAGAATGAGTGAAAACCAAAAAATGTTCCTCATATTCAGCCTTTCCTGGTCCGGAGGAACAGCTGGACTTATTCTCTGCAGGGAAATTCCTTCCTGAAGACGAATAACATTTTGCTTTTGCAAGGACAGACTGAGAGGCTGACTGACTACTCCTAAGTGCTCCAGACGACCACAGCTGACAGAAACAGACTTGTTTTATTGCTGCTGTTGGTTTCAGTGTGTGGCTGTGAATTGGGCCCTGCAGAGAGTCCTGAGCTGATAATGAACTGAATGAAGATGAGCTGCTCAGTGGGAGGTCCCAGGAGCCCCACAGCTCAGAAACCCAACTTAAAACCGCTTTAACTTGCATTTCCTGTTTCAAGGGGAAAATAAAACTGGTGAAAAAAGGTCAACATCAGTGGCGGAGCTGCAGCTCGCTAGCATTAGCCAGCAGTGCTAACGTTTCCTCCTCCTGCAGAGCTGACCTTCTGGCTGAACGTGAAGGAGCAGCTGAACCGCCATGAGCTGCAGCGGTTCTACTCGCTGCGCCACATCTCGTCCGAACTGGGCCGGGGCCGGGCCTGGCTGCGCTGCGCCCTGAACGAGCATTCGCTGGAGCGCTACCTGCACACGCTGCTGGCTGACCGCCCGCGGCTGAGGTTGGCATCCTGCTGGTTCTGGGTCTGGTTCTGGTCAGCTGAATGGATTGACAAGTTCTGGTTCTGTCTTCTCTAGAACCTTCTATGAAGACTGGGCTTTTGTTCTGGACGAGGAGAGAGCAAGTATGCTGCCAACCATGGCAGCAGGTGAGCAACCGTCGGTCCAAACATGAACAAATATAAAGAATAATGGAAATGCATGTAAAACATCATGTCTAAATTTAAATGTATACAAACAAATACATAGACATTAATGTACAAATGTGAAAAATTGACAGAAATCTAAATTAGTGGTGCAGTGATTGCAGTTTTCTGGCGGATTACAAACCTTTTAATTTACCGATTCCCATTTTGGCCGACACCAGTTTTCCACTCAACATGAAAACGTTCCTGAATTTATTGTTTACGTTTTAAAGTTTTGTGAACTTTAAGATGAAAAACTATAAAAGTCCTTTTTTGAACTGAATTACTGGATTAAACCTGACCAGATATTTACATCGTTTCCCGTCCAGGTTTGAACTCTATCCTGTTTGCCATCAACATCGATAACAGCGACCTGAACGGCGGCGCGCCGCGCGGCGGCGGCGGCCCGTCCGTCTCCAGCCTGCTGAAGGAATCCACGCAGGGCATCGGCTCCCTGCTGAAGGAATCCACGCAGGGCGTCAGCTCCCTGCTGCGGGAGATCAGCACCGCCCCGAAGCCCGACGCCGCCTCCGACCCGCTGCCCGTCATGCCCCGCAGCGCCTCCGCTGGTAGGAAGTCGCGCTGCGTCCTGGAAATAACCGGCCGTTCTGGTTCCTGCTGATCTGTGCCACAGCTTGGTTAGGAAACCAAATGTTACAAATTTAGCTTCAAAATGATGAAATTAAAATGTGGAGTTTATGCTGTGCAGGTGAACATTCACTCACCTCTGGATTACAATGCTTGATGTGTCAGAGGAAGTTGCGGCGCTGGCCAAGAAACATTAATGATGATCTCACTGAACTCTGATCCCAGAACCGCACGGCATTTTGGGAGATGCTAGCAAGCTACAACTTGTGAAGCAGCATTTTCAAGTTGCCCCAACATGCTGGGCGCTCTTCCCTCCCCAAACATCAGTTGGCTTCTCCAGAACAGGAACCGGGCCAAACTGCTTCGCTCTCTTTCTTCCACTCGTTCTTTCTTTGGCTCGTCTATAAACTTGTTTTTGTCTGTAACCGGGTTCAGAGAGCAGCTGCGCGTTTCCCCGGCGCCGCCCTGCTGGCGGCCTGCTGGCGCTCTGCCTCCGACAGGAACAAACCGTTTATTAATCTGTTTGAAATGATTCTCAGTCCAACACAGTTTATCTCTGTGATCATATTTATGTGGCCGCAGTGATTCCTGCCGTTCGGCACCAAATCAGCTTCCCATTGGTTTCTCCATCTTGGAGTTTCTGATGCCTGCTTTCATGTCTCCATGTTTGTTTAAGAGCCAGAAAACGGAAATTTGAATCGTTTGTTAAATGATTCGAGTTTCAATCTGCAGATTTGAAGAAAAAAATTTTCTGTAAATTGAATTTGAGTTTCTGGTTTGTGTCTCGGCTCAGACTCGGGGCTGAGGAAGGAGCGACGGCGGAGGAAGAAAATCACCAACATCATTTCCTTCGACGACGACCTGGACGGCGGCGCCGAGGACGAGGAGGACGGCGAGGCGAAGGCGAGTCGCCGTGGCGCTCCGGCTCAGAGCAGCGTGGAGGAAGGCATCGACCCGCTGGAGCCGTCGTCGGCCGGGTCTCCGGCCCACAACGGCGTCCCAGAGCCGGGGGACGCGGGCTGGGTCGGGTCGCCGCGGCCCGGCCGCACGGCGCCCCCTGCTGGCCCACCGCTCCCCGACAGCCAGAGCGCAGAGAACGAGGAGGAGGAGGACGAGGAGGAGACGAGGAAACCCCCAACTGAAATCCAGGACAGACTGACTTCTGACCAGTGAGTCAAAAACAAACCGCAGAACCACCGGTCCAGAACCTCTGCTTGATTTGGACCTCAGGCTACAGAACCACAGGAAGTTCTGCAACTGCGAACAGGAAGGAAATGCACGCGATGTTAGCAGTTAGCTTCAGAGGCGCTAAGGCTAGGTTAGCACTGAGACTGAATCCGATACGTTTCCTCTTCCTGGTCGGTCGGAACCGACCCGTTCGGATCTACGACCTGGAAATAAATCAGGAATATTGACAATATATCGATCTTATCGTCCGTTACAGTTTCCAACAAATTTCATCTGGTTTGTTACAAAAACCAAAAATTTAGACTTGGATTAAAAAACTAGTTGATGGAGGAGATTTGATTCCAACTGGTAACAACTGGTCCAGTTCCAACTGGTCCCAACCGGTCCAGTTCTAACTGGACCAGTTCCAACTGGTCCCAACTGGTCCCAACTGGACCAGTTCCAACTGGTCCGGTCCCAACTGGTTCAGTTCTAACTGGTTGTTCTGGTTCCAGGCTGGTGGTGGGCAGCCTGTCCAGTGTTTCCACCTGGAGTCCGGTCCAAACCGTGACCGACCAGCCCAGCGCCGACATCCTGATTCCTGTGAACCCAGCGGACCCTGATCCAGGTACCGGACCGGTTCTGTGTAACTCAGCTGGTAATCTGAGGTACTTTCCGTGGCGGCTGGTCGTTTCAGTTTCACTTCTGTTCCTGCAGTGAGTTCTGTGGAAGAGGCGGCCGGGTTTCCCGCCCCGTGCCGCTCCACCGGGTCGGCGGAGAACTGTGAGGCCAGCAGAACCCAGCTCGCCTTCAGGTGAGATTCTGATGTTTGGATCGACTGCAGCCCGACCGAACTCCGTCTGATTGTTCATCTCTGTTGCTGCAGCATGGAGTCCAGTCCGCCGGTCCGGTCCGGTTCGCTGTCCGCTGGGCTGCCGGACTCCATGACGGTCGGTGAGTCTCTGTTTTTATTCTGGGCCGATTCTGGTTCTGTGTGTTCCCGAACCGGTTCTGACGATGAATCCGGGTTTCCTGAAGCAGCAGAACCAGAACTTCCTCCTAGGGTTCAGTTTGGCCCGGTTTTATCAAACTGGACTCGTGTTTTTAGCTTCTGCTGGTTCTGCGTTTTCCTAAATGACTTCCTCTGAATGTTTTCTATATTTAGTTTAATAAATTAAATAACAGCTGATTTTGGCGAAGCGTCGTCTGGATTAACATGATTCCAGTTATAAAATCTTGGCTGTTAAAGGCTCAGTTCTGTACTGAAGATTTTCTATTATGAGGAAATTATGTGGTGATAATTTTATCCTGATTGAAAATAAAAAGTCTCCCCATGTGGTTCTCTCGCTGCCAGGTATTTATTCTTAATAACACCTAGTTATTTAAATTGTTAAATAAATAAAGATCCAAGGTTTTTCATGCTTGACCTGCAGTCAGGGCCACAAATGGCCTCCAAGCCGCACTTTGCACACCCCTGTCTGAAAGGCACAAAATGAACTGGGAGTGAAAACTGGGAGATTTCCTGTTGCTCTGACCCAGATGAACCACCAGGGGGCACTGTGTCCACACTGTGCAGCCGTTACTGTATCTACTGTAAATATTTCCTCTCTGCTCCCGCTGAAGCAGACGAGCCGTAAATCTGTTGACTTTCATTCAGCCTCGCCTGCGTAGCGATTCTCCAGAGACGCTTCAGTCGAAACGAAGAAAACCTGAAAATATGTGCAGCACAGAGCAGCTGTTTACCGCCAGTCTGAGTCAGGCTGCATTTATTCACCTGCAGCTTCAGCACCGTTCCCACCGCAGTCTGCATCACCGGGGCTCAAAGGGGGGCCCGGGGGCCATTCACGGGCCCCTCTGATCTCAGCTTTCGAACGGAGGAACCGGCGCTGGAGGTCAAAAATATGAGAAACAAAAAATAGATTCTCAATTGTTAAAGTTTTTTCTTTAATATTGATCTCAAAGCAACTAAAAGCACAAACAATGATCTACTTTTTCTCAAAAGCAAATCTTTCTTCTCAGAAAGGAAAACAATCGGCTCAGGAATGTTTGTGGTCCAGATTAACGGCTGGCCGTTTCCCAGCATTTCAGGATGAAATAGAAAAACTCAAATTCACTTCACATTTCTTTTTTTGTGTTTGAACTTGATGCAAATTTTAAATAAAGTTAATTGCAGCATCTATGATGAAAACAGATTCAATAATAGCTGCTGCTGCTGTTAGCGGATGTAGCCGTGCGTCACTTTTGTGGTCGTACCAGAAACGTGTTCAGACAAAGGTTCCACTCAGACGTTTGTGAAAAAAGTGATAATATTGTCAGAATTTTTAATTTTTTTCATTCTAACATATATTTACAATTCATATCATATTCTTTTGTTCATATATATTTTGGTTAAACGACACAAACCTGCATTTTGTCCTTTTTCGTGACCGATGTGGTTTTTCTTGGAGTTGGAGCTTCTGATTCTGATTTGGACCCATCCTGCTCTCCATTTAACGAAAAACTGATCAGAACCAGTGAAGGTCCGATCTCTATTTTGTTGATCAAGAGTCATTTATTTACCGCTTCAGTTCATTGTGCAGTAAATGTTGGAGTCGTTCTGTCAGTATTTACCATCAGGCAGCGATCAGGACGCCCCGACGCGTCGCTTCGACCCGACTCCGGTGCAGCCTGGTTCTGGACAGAACCGGGCTATTCAACCGGACCAGAACCAAAGACGCATCAACGTGCTGCAGGAGACATGAGACGCGTCCTCTGGCCTGCAGGCGCGGACGTTTCGCCGTTCCATAACTAACGTTAAAAAAACTGAAAATATAATCAGGCCGAAAATAATAACTGATCAAATTAATGAGATCTTTTCATTTCATGAAAAATGTGGACGGGCTGCACAGTGGTGCAGTTGGTAGCGTTGTTGCCTTGCAGCAAGAAGGTCGTGGGTTCGATTCCCAGCCCGGTCTTTCTGCATGGTGGGTTCTCTCTGGCTGAGCCTGGTCCGGTCTGGTCCAGTCCGGTCTGTCTCTGACCTGGTGACCCATCCATCATCAGAATCTCTGTCCCCCTCGGCGTGTTGGACCCTCTGCTGGCGGTTCTGCGACCCGTTGGTTCTCTGCCGGCGGTTCTGTTCGCTCGGCGCTCATTTCTGCTCTGTGCTTGTGGAGGAGTGTTCGGCGTGATCTAGTGTTTACCTGCTGGATGTGGCGGCGTATTTACAAGGCCCGGTTCTGCCATTACCGGACCAGCAGAGTTCTGCTGAACGTTTGACGAGCTTCATCTTCCGAGAGCAGAATTTCTGCTTGAGGTCTTTAGTAGGTGTTGTGTTTCTCAGAGCGATGCGTTTCCCTCAGCAGCTTCTCTGGCAGCAGGTTAGGGCTTTAATTTAAAGTCAAACTGATGATGATGATGTTCTGTAACTTCTGAAACACTCAGCGTTTCATTATGGGCCACGCAAACATTTTAATGTCATCATCAGAAACATGTTTTATTAAAGGCTAAAATCGACACGTCAGCGAGTTTCTGCCAAACCACCTGGTTTGATCTGATGCAGCTTTTCTGTCCTGATTAAAAGCAGCGAGATCAGGAGGGTTTCCTCACTGCTCTAAACCTCTGCAGCAAAGTATTTACACCCTCAGATCTTTTTATACGGACATCAACAATTCACTTTTAACGCTACAAAATAAAATAAAAACGTTTCATTTTTGTTTTCTTATCCAGCTTCTTGAGGCTTTTCTCTATTTTTGTTGCTCTTTTTAATATTGTCCAACTTTTCTTAAACATTTCTGTTGTTTTTTTTAACAGAAATGGGAAAAATGCATAAAATTGATCCTAAATGTGAATTAAATGTGTAACTGAAATAATCTGCGTATCTTCAGCGTCGCTGTGCGGCTGCAGCCTGAGGCGCCGTCGAGCCGGGACTCTCTGCTTTGGGTTGAACTCAACTGAGTTTCGCTGTGGATCTGCAGTAGCAGTCAGTGTTGCAACATATCTGAGGAGTCCTCTGATATGTAAGGACATGTTAGCGTGTCCTTGCATGATAATATGCAACTGCTAATCCTTCTCCTTTGCTGTTGCTGCTCTTTAAATCTGCCAAGGCTTCTGCATATGTTTCCATGTTGTCAAGCAAAAGTCTGTTGGGAAATAATTTCTGGTCATGAAACGGATTTTGAGATTTGATGATGTATGGCAAGCTGTTTCCAACAAAATCAGTGGCATCCTGCGCATGTTAAAATCCTGATATAATGAGAAACAGCTCAACTCTGGTTTCTGAATCCTCACCAATAAAACATTTTTACTGTTTGTTTTTTTCCGGCAGGAAGTGACATGTTTCCGTTGCTTAGCAACACAAACGCTCAGTAGTTGCTGCTGTTCCTGATTTCTGCTGAGTCATGGAAACTGGAAGTCTCTTCAAACCTGTCCTGAGTTTTTCCTGTTTTAATATCTGAACTGTTTGGACGGTAAGTGCAGCAGTGAAAATGCCTGATTCTGGTTTTGTTTGTTTCAGTGGAGCTGCGTCAGGCCATCGTAGCCATGATGAACAGGAAGGACGAGCTGGTGGAGGAGAACAGGTACGTCCCTCTAAACATTCCCCCAGAAAAACATTCAAAACGTTTTATTCAAGAAAAATCTTTGATTTGTTTGATTTCCCAGAATAAAATCTCAGTTTCCCTGCAGAAACTGAGATTTGAAGGCAGCATGTTGGACAGACTTTTAAAGGCTGTCAATCAGAATGATTGTAAATCTGTCGAGCAGCATTCCGCTTCTCCATGATTTGCAACAGGCTATTAAAGTGATGCAGACACATTTGTGTTGATGAAGTGTTTTTATGTTGGGGCTAATTGTGATTCATCGTCTCATTTCCAGCGCCAATTAAACGGCATTCCTCTAATCTATTGTTTATGAAAACAGCGTCGGCAGAACGGCGGAGGTAATTCCTCTGTACGGTGGGAGCGGAGCGGATGTTTGCTAACGCAGGCGTGACCTGCTGCGTGTGTGCAGGTCGCTGCGCAGCCTGCTGGACGGCGAGATGGAGCACTCGGCCGGCCTGAGGCAGGAAACCGAGCTGCTCAAGAAGCTGGCGGAGCTGGAGGAGAGGCACGGGGCCAAGGTCCAGGCGCTGGCCAG